ATTTTCTGATGTGCGCATACGCACGCATGCGCAGAAACGACGGGTAGGATGGTTTGTCGGGTAGGATGGATTCCCAGAAGACCGTGTCGTGCGCAAGTCTTTTGTGTAATGAACGTTACTTTCGGTAAAAAGGGGGCATACGGCCAGACAAACATTAAAGGCAGGCCAATCTTGGCCGTAAGGTACATAAAGTTTGAGGAGGCGTGCGGCCAATTTTGAAAGGCACGACGGCCATTGGCCGCGGTGCCGCGGCTTATGTCTAGCCCTGTCACAGTTATAGTTAAGTTATGGTTCTGTTCTTTGGAAGGTGTACATCTTAGTCGTGTGTGCGCATGTTGATTGGCTGTGTGCCCCCATTAATTTAATATTATCAACATTAAATAATTAGCTACTGTGAACAGCCCGGTGGCTCAGTGGGTAGCTGCTGTCTTGCCCCCCCCCCCCCCCCAGTGCTGAGGGGTGTGAACATGGCCTCCAGTCTGACTGTGTATAATCTGCAGTGTCACATGTGCCCCGTCCAGAGTGCACCCCAGTCCTGTTCCCTGTGCTGCCTAAGACCCAGGGCTCCAGGCCGCCCAAAATCCTGACCAGAATAAGTGGCATGAAGATGGATGGATTATCAATCGCTAACCAGAGATCTAAATCATCCTAACTGTACTGATGCCACTGCAATCTCACACAATGCATTAGGATTTCTACAGTTAGCTTTAATTAAATGGCTTCGAAGGATCCAGTACCACTAATGAACACTTAGAGCTGTTTGTAATACCTCTCATTCCTCTATATAACAGGCCATTAATACACAGCAGTGCTGTGTTAATGCAGGAAAAACAGCCAGAGAGTGAATAAAAACTGTGACACAGTGCAAACACAGGATACTGTGAAGGTAATGTTATAATCTTTACATTTTTCCATGTGAATCTGCAGGCAGCAGTACAGTGATGTTTGTCTGGCTTAAGGGCGTCTCGTTTTTTTTCCTATAAATCTTCAGATCTGCCTTATGTGCACATTGACCATGTAGCTCTCTAAAGTTATACCTTTAAAGTCTGACTTCATCATGACAAAACCTTTATATATCAGAAACAATATGGATCCCCATCAAATCACACAGGAACCAATTAGCAAAAATAAAACACTGATATGTAAATCTTATAAGTGGTTTAAAGGCAGAAAAGGGTTTAACTTACTATCAAATTACATGCGATCTCTGCCCTGATTGACTTGATTAATAATGATAACAGNCATCATGACAAAACCTTTATATATCAGAAACAATATGGATCCCCATCAAATCACACAGGAACCAATTAGCAAAAATAAAACACTGATATGTAAATCTTATAAGTGGTTTAAAGGCAGAAAAGGGTTTAACTTACTATCAAATTACATGCGATCTCTGCCCTGATTGACTTGATTAATAATGATAACAGGGCAAAATGTAACTGGCTAAACATCATTAATCTACAGAAGCAGGAGCACCAGACACATCCAAGCCACATAATCCAGGACTATTGATATTTCTATGCTACAGTTATAACTGTATTATTTTTCCTGCAGTGTCCCGGCCTCCCATTCAGTGGCCCCTTTGCTGCCTGATACAGGCTCCAGGCTCCGAGATCCTGACCAGGAAGCTGTGGGAAGGTTTATTTATCTGGCAGATGTTTAATCCAAAGTGACATACAAGTGATGCACATAAAACACGACAGCTGTGGCATGTGCGAAATCAGTAAATTAAAATTTATGATAAATGGATTTCTTGTATTTATGGATTAACACAGTAGTTCAACAGTGATCATGATTATATATTGGCCTACAATAATCATCAAACAGCATTCAATCGACATATATACGAAAAAAGAAACACAAAATAAAAAAAAGTGAAAATGAAGGCGAAAATTCCATATTCTTTATCTGCACCACCCCAAAAAAAATTATGTCAAGACTCATAGCGCCCTCTTGTGTACTAATGGAGTTACAGGTCAATAATGCGCAGCGAAAAGAGCGTTATAATAAACCAAGTGATGTGACACTTTTAAGCGCACTAAAAAAATTTTATTTTGTATTGACTGACGTAAATAGTCGATAAAGTATGCTGTTCTTAAAATACAATTTCAACCCAATAGTTGCCAATTGTGAATTTTGATCTTTCTATACTACGTTATCTTTAAGACAGACGAAATTCCCAATTCAGAGAGCGTTTAAGGTCAGTAGATGGTCTGTTACATAAAATGAAGAAAATCACATCGTGTTCTAATCTAGGTTGAAATCTCACCGACAAAGTAAAAAAAAAATAACAATAATAGAAAATAAAACCGACTAATTCATAATCTAAAGTGCGCTCAGGGTTTGCAAACAAGACAAAATGACAATAACAGATGTTTTCAGTACTGAAGTTATCAAATAAAATACTATTTCATGCATGATTATTACATGTAAACCTGGGAGAAAACAATTCTTGCGCATATTGCCATATGGATCAAATACGAAAATAAGTTAAATGTGCCTATTGAGAAATTCTACGAACCACTATTTACACTATACATTTATTTATAATTTAATGTATTATACTTTATTTAGGCCACATATAATGTTCAAAATACGAATTTACACTTAATCACACTATATTTTAAGAAAAACAAAATCTATGCTTAATAAAGTTTTGTAAGTATTAAGCAATAACTTGTTCAAATGCAATTTACGTTTGTCTTGATAAAACAATATTTTTCAGATATTAAATTAAACCGTTTAAATGTAAAATATGATTTCAACTGAATACCGATTACAGAGAAATCTCAGCAAAACCCATGTAACATAAGTCTTTCACTTTAGAAATAACTTAAGTAAAATCAAATTTATTAAAACTTACCTGCAAATACGGAGTCGATGCCAAACAAAATGAGTACAAATAGCAGAGCTTTCCGCATGTTGTGCGAAGTACTGGATTCCTCAGAAAGAATACGTAAAAAACCACACAGCTTACAGACGCGCGTCTTGGGGACTGACTGCCTCCGTAACGAGTCGCACTTTTATAGGAGCAAAAAAAATAATATTTTTTTAAACCAATAGAAATCAAGATACGACATGACATCAGAGATCTCTAGGATATTTTGAGATGAAGAGGTTTCCATTCGAAACCAAAGTAACTATGGCTCAAGATGTTCTGGGAAATTGAGTTCAGTACATTACAGGCAGCTTGGCGAATGACGTACGAGCGGTTGTTTCAATGCAGTACTTGCATTAGTGCTTTCATGCATGTCCTGATAAACTAGGGTGCTGTTATTATAATTCAATTTGGCAGTGGGGGGAAAACCAACATTGCAGCACCAAGGTGGAACTTTATGCCACACAAGGCTTTTTAAAAGACATCTTTAACATATTTAACTGCTGAAAAGATGGATGAACCAGGGACTCGCATCTAAGAAAACAGGAGAGGTTTTAATAGCAAAAGATAATGGACAAGAGTCACACAAGGCTTTTTAAAAGACATCTTTAACATATTTAACTGCTGAAAGATGGATGAACCAGGGACTCGCATCTAAGAAAACAGGAGAGGTTTTAATAGCAAAAGATAATGGACAAGAGTCACACAAGGCTTTTTAAAAGACATCTTTAACATATTTAACTGCTGAAAGATGGATGAACCAGGGACTCGCATCTAAGAAAACAGGAGAGGTTTTAATAGCAAAAGATAATGGACAAGAGTCACACAGCGGGTTACAGTGTATGAAGCTGAGACACTAAGGCAAAGCAATTTAATGCAGAGGATCCTGTGACTAAGGGAGTCTGAACTGAAAAGTCCCTGAGATTTTACAAAATAACACAGAGCTCGTAGATATTTATAGGCTTACAGCGCCCTCTACTGCCGGTAGCTCTCCTTCTCTCCCTGCAGTTCTCCAGTTCCATTTCAGTGAAATCACGTGAGCACCTCTGACTGGATTTCTCACTGCCAATGTTACCAGGATAACCCAGAAACTAACAGTGAGTCAGGGCTTTTGGCGGACCAGTTTTTCACAGGCAAAATGGCTGATTTTTCACTTAACAATTGGTAAATACTTTCTGGTTGTGTTACAATAAACAATTGTAATAAAGTGCTTAAATCTTGAAACTTGAATCTGGCCACTCAGAAGAGCAGAAATTCTAATTTCATACAGCAGGTTGCATTAAAAACATCAGTGCTGATGTCGACTCCACAGCTGATCTGCTTTATGCAGAAAGTTAATTTGGTAACATGATGTGGTGGGAAAGGAGGCGTGAGAGATGTGGGTGCAAAAAAAATACCCCTGGAGGGGTGGAGTTTAATCAGATGATGAAGGGGCTGAGGTTGCAGGTTCAGGGGGGTGTGGTTCTCTCCCCAGGCAGGGGGGGGGGGGGGTGGCACAGGAGGCAGGGGTGCCTCAGGGCAATCGCCCCCCAGGCTGTCAGGGGAAGAGGAAGCACAGACAGCTGGCTTACCCTGGACTCTCAGGATTTCAGCTCTGCTGGGGAAGACAATCCCGCCCCTTGGTGGGACTTCCTTACAGGAGGTTTCTGGGCAGACTGTGAGAACCCCCCTGTTGCTGTCTGCCTGCACGGTTCAGAGCGATGCCTGTGGTGTGCGGCGGATTCCTGGTGGCCGTCACAATAAACCCCCCCCAAAGGGCCTCCCCAGTGGATCTGTGTGATCTGTGATGAGGGTGACGGGGCTCTGGGATCCTGTACAGCCTTCGGATGACAACTCCAGGGGGCGTCTCCATGAGGTGTCACATGACAGGGGGTGTGGCCTAAGAGGCTGGAGAACACTGTAGCTATTGATGACCTCCTGCAGTTCCTGGTGTATGGACCTCCCCCAGAGGTCCTGTGCAGGAGGGGCTGCAGCTTGATCCACTGCTTCAGCAGGCTGACGTGGTGAAGCAGCTCAGAGGAGTGGTGGCTGGCTGGGATCCCAGACCTGGTCGGTCACAGCACCCGCCTTTTCCACCATGGCGTGAGGTCTCTGCCAGGAGGCCAGGAACATGCAGGAGGTGTTTGGGATGAGGATTAGGATTTGATTGTTGTGCTTGGGCCGGCCGGTTATACACCTGTTGTTGGGTTCGTTGGGTTTGCTCCATTGGCTCCCCGATGATCAGCATGATCTTCTCAATCCTCTCCTTCATCTCCCAGACAGGGGGCAGTGTTCTGGTGAGAGGGAATTTCTTCTGAGTTAAGTGACACCTACTTCTGCTGGATCAAAGTCTATCGCTGCAGTTCAAGTCTCTGTGGTGGTCAGAGGCTCTATGGTGCAGAGGCTGCAATGGTATATGAAATCCATACAGCGAGGCTGATAGTATTGAATGTTGTTGGGTTAACATGGCTTATGCTCCTCTGTACTGGCAAACATGGGGGGACGTCCCTATTTTTAAAAAGGACTCTTGAATCTAAAGTTGTGGCAAGGCTGTGTTTCTGATTAAATTGCACTTCCAAGAAGTGATTTTATTAAAACTAGGACTAAACAACTGATAATTTTGTTTCCTAATGTTTTTCCTAATCAGGTTTGACTGCTATTTTAAGTGTTATTTATTTTGATTCCTTTGATTTATTGAAAGATTGTTTACAGGTATGTCTGTACAAGAAAATGGAAGTATGATCAATTAACTGTTAAGCATAGAGGCAATTAGGTTTTTTTCTTATTACGTATGTCTTCTTTTTAAAGAGATTTCCAGTTTTCCAAGATAAATACAGAACATCATTTTGAAATTTCAGAATATCTTAGTTTTTTAATTTACCAGTCTATCTCCTAGTCTAGAATAGCTCATTATTTCATCCCAGTGATTTATAGTGAGACTTTAAAAATTCAGGCCCATGATCAGGCAACTGTGGGCAGAGAATATAAATGCTGATATTTTTACGAAATGAGGATGTGATGTCAAATAATGGAATTTAGTACTTAATTACAATAAAGAATGAAAAATCAAGAAATAAATCAAGAAATTACATAATACTGGAAGCCTATTTGCCAATTAAGTTTACTGACACTTACATATAAATCAAATTTATTAAGACTAAAACACTCAGATTTATGCCTGTATGACAGACATCAGCAGACATTGCTTGTCATTCATTTCCACCCTGGCCATCTGCATAATGTATGTTGTCATCTGTCACCATGGAGATGAAGCTGAACAGGTTCCTGCTGTGGGAATTCCCCTGTGGTCACATGTCCTCTGTCGGTGTCATGCAACACAGGGTGAAACTGATGCACATTTACAAGTAGATTTGAATATTCAGTAGTCCACAATTTTAAATTCACTTTACAATTCTACACTCATATGCTAAAACAGAAAATATACAGGCATTGTCACGTTGGTGGAACAGGCGAGCAGGAAAGCAGGCAGATCAGTCGGATGGACGGATAAACAAGGTTTATTCAGGAAACAGGCAGGACCGGGGAAGCACGACGACTAACGTA